AGACACGATTGTCGTGCTGCAACGAAATCTCCACAGACTGGAGCATCGTGACAGCTTAGGGGTAAAAGAAAACAAAATCAAGATCCATCATCACTCCGTCCCAGACGCGAGGCGTCATGTGACGATGAATGCGTCGGCAAACGTCCTGCTTTTCACCACACCATATAATATATGGTGTGGTCGATATTATCGAGTTGCCCCACCACTTGAGTAAAAGAAAGGGACTGACACTTCCGTCAATATGAATTTTTACATGTCCAGGTGGAGATACTAGAGGAATTGGGCTAGTAGTGTCATATTTTGCGGGGTCAATAGTTTCGGGTCGATAACCCTCAAAGGTAGATTTCCTGCTTCGGTGAAGTCGTGAGACCTCCCCGGAACATGCTCGGGAAGACGTTTAATACCAAAGAGCTACAAGAAGTAACATCCGAGGACGGTGGACAAAAGCAGTGCGGACTGGCGAGAAAAGAGTAATAGTATGTTGCCGATACATGTACCACCCCCGCATGTACTATTGTATTATGTGTGTAACGGGCTAAGACAACCCGTTACCAAGTACACACTGTAGTGGAAGGAAGCAGGTAAATTAAACTCTGGTTGATTGACGTGACGGCACCAAGGCCGTCACAGCCATTAACTCTAGTCTTGGGATCTGATTGGCCACCGTGCACACAAAATAAACACCAAGGTCGTTGGGGCGAATAACCTAGCATATTGTGGTGAGTTTGTACTAGTAATATTTTCACGACTGCCATCCCATCAACCCCACAGAGAGTCGAAATACCGGAAACCCTCACTATTTTTGGCACCCATTTTTTGTACCTTATACTATATTATTCACGTATTATTAGTCTAGTGGAACGACATCAATAGTATACTATAAGATACAAACTATTGTCTACCCGTAGTTGGAGAGTACGAAAAAAAGTTACCAATTCCATTTTCTTTAATCCCCATCAGTCGAACGCGCAGATTCTCACTTCTCTTTCGCCGCGGTAGCCACTCTTCCCCACCCTGGGGCACCTTTTGCTACTGTGGTGTCCAGTCTGCAGAGGTCTCCTCGTACTCTTTTGAATCTATGGCATAAAAATGATCGTCTAAGTCGACGTTGTCTCGGGGGCGAAATATCCCAAGATTGATTGCGCGGATCTCGTCCAGCCTACGATTAGACCCGCGTTCAGCTTCACTAACGACTCGATAGCATGCTGTGGCCAGCAAGGTTGATTAATTAGTCAAGTAATCGCCGCATCGCAATCGTACTACCGTCTTACCCCGCATAAAACGTGTAGGTATTGTTATAAAAAAAACAGGTACCATAAATAAAAGACCAAAACCTCAAACACAACGACGCATACAATACAAGGACAGCCATAGGAAAGGGTTCGGTATTAACCCAATTAAGGCCCAGATTTATTCTGTATTCGACAGAATAAGATAACATCTCGATTAAACTAAAGAGCGAAGATTGCAACACTTTATCTGTTGTGAGCCCTTTCGCCGCTAGACGCTGCGCATGGGACAAAAGCGCTGCGTAACAGTGCAAAGCCGCAGCAATGTATCCATCACATGTCTTTTTCGTGGAATACAATTGGCCAGGAAAGGATAGCTCACAATCAAAAAGTCTCTTTATTTTAAATCCCCTTCAAGGTGATCAAGGTTTCCGACCGCTTCCGGTGGCCAGCAGTGGACGAGCTTTCGTGCCACGCGGCGTGATGCCTCTCTCACCAAAATTTCGGTTAGTTCTAGACTTACAGAGAAGTAAGTACGCTAGAACTAGCCGAAAGTTTGGTGAGCAATACTATGAAGGAGGCAACTTGATGGTACGCAAAATGCAGTTGCTATTTAGTTAGTTAACCATCTACTAACTACCCCTGCTGCTACGCTTAGCTGCTATCGTCGGTGTCGCCGTCGTCCGTGCAGCTGTTGGTTTCCTCGCCAAGCTTGCGCTTTTGAAACCGGATTTTTTTGCGTAGATGAGAAGGGATGGCCGCCCCGCTTCCCCACGCTCCATGCCAAATCTGGCTGCACGTCAGCGTGTTCCCGGTTTTCGTGCGCCGGACCGTATTGCAACGCGGCACGTATCCCCCCCCATGCTGCTGTTGCACTCTCGACAAAAAAGTGGCTCTCAAAACTCTTGACCTTTGGGGGGCTCAAAGCGGAGCAAACCTTGCAGAGAAACTAGCGGCTCTTCTTGTCTCCCTTGCGTTTCCCAGACTTGGCCTCATACAGTTCTTTGGTGCTGTGTAGCACATGCTCACGGGTCTGGAGTGGTGTGTTAGCCAAATCCTCACCGTACTGGTTTGTACGGAAACTGTCAGAAGTCACTGTGAGCAACTTTATGTGAAGTCGTCTCATGTACTCGATATGTGTAGGCACTCGCTCCCCCTTGTGCTTCATCGCTAGCCTGTGCAGGATGAAGCCGTTCACCACTGCCATATCGACAAAAGCTAATAATACTTGTCGATAGTACTTTTTGAAAGCCACGCATCGCTGGATAGAGTAGCGCTGCAGACGGATCTGATCGTGGGTGTCAACTCCACCCATACCAGAATGGTAATCAGCAACGAGCTGCGGGTACGGCATCCGCGTGGTAGCCCCCGTCCGTTTGTCCTTCCTCGATACGTGGGTCTGCACTGTGGAGCATCCTGTGGCGATCAGGTGGACAGGGCTCGAGTCCATCCACGCAGCAGCAACAAGCTGCGGATAATGCCTGGCCTGGGCAATCCGTTACGTTCCTCGAGGCATGTAGTGTGGCCTCTTTTTCTGCTTGAACATGAGCTGTTTTGGCCACCCCAGTCGGTCACTTCGTTGTGTTCCAACGAAATAGAACCCTTTCTCGATTACCTGCAAAATGGGTCGGATCTGGTACGCCTTGTCAGTGGTTGTATCTCCGCTGTTGGGGCTTGTAAAATGGAGGAAGCGTGTTATCGTTCGGAATCTCTCCCGCTTCATGTACCGTCCAAAGGTATCCCGAGGAACAGCTCCATCTTCACTGACAGCCCAATGCTTCGACAAGCCGTCCGTGTGTCCGCACAGTATACGGGCCACCAATATGCCTGCTACATGCAAAATCTCGTGCTCTCGAATGGGCTTCTGTCTTTCAAGTTTGTTGATGATGTCTTCTAAGTCTCTCACAGATTTCTTAGGATCGTTTGCTTGGGCTGCTAGCTGGCGTTCACGAGTCTGCTGGGCAATCGCAGGTATGCATCTTCTCCGATAGACTTCGGACTCCAAGGCAATTCTCTTCCAGAGACACTTGGGCAAAAAGTAAAAGAACATTCCAATCGGCGACTCCGCAAAAGCAGCCGCCGATTTCGTGGTTCCCCATCTGCCATCACACAAGGCAGCTCCGTCCAGTTTCAAGTCAGCTGCATCAAGTTCAATACAGAACAAGTTAGACTGTGATTACTCTTTTCTGTATTGCACAGGCTTACCGCAGTGATCTTCGCCATACAAAATCCACCCTGAGCTGGCAAGCTCCCGCATTGCCCTGTCATCTTGTCGAAAGCCCTGGCTTGTGTCCTCAAATTCTGGGTCTGACTCGACTTCATCCACGTATTCCTCTTCATCACTCTCCTGCTCGTCAAAAGCAGACTCCTCATCGGACTCGACACTGCACGGGAACGACTCGTCACTAATATTGACATCGTCGATATCAACGGGGCCAAACAGATTCTCTGCACGAAAGGCTTCCATGAAGTCATCTCGATCAAATGCATCTAGAGTCGGCTCGTCTTCAGTCTTCATTTCCTCCTCAGCGTTGGCTTCACCATCACCAGTGTTTCGATCCACAGTGGTACGTTGACGCAATGCAGCACCAACACCAGCATCTTGTTCTGTAGCAGCCGGACTAGCAGCATTCACTGGCATACCTTGTTCTGTAGCAGCCACACTAGCGGTGTTGACGCGAGTACCTTGTTCTGTAGCAGCCACACTAGCGGTATGGACGCGAGCACCTTGTTCAGGAGCTGGAGGCTCAGGCTGGCGCCGTTGGACGACAGCATAAGCCGCTAATTTCCCGATCGGAGACTTCTTCGCACGAATTGAACCACTTCGATGGGGCGGAGGTGGAGGCGGAGGGATCAAACCTTCCTGCTTTGCGTATTCCCATAGGGCGTTTGTGCCTAAACATGTACAGGTCGTCCGTGAAGAGCGTTATACATTCAGAAGTTACCAAACGTACCAACGAAGTACTCAATGTTGACTGTGTCCTTGCACAGCTTGCCTTTAACACCCGGCTTCACGTGGGTATGATCTGAGCTGAGACCTGCAGGGGGTCTCGCACGCCACCCCGCCTTGATGAGAGAGCTCCACAAGCGCTTGAACTCCTTGGGGTCGATCCAGTCCGTCATCTCGAAATGAGTGGCGTGAAGGGGAGTGGAGGAGAGTAGCGGCGACGAAGGGCGACGAAGGGCGACGAAGGGTTTTTGATAGAATTCTGAAACCTCCCAGCCGTTTGTATCGCCTTTTCTATACCTCAGGGAAAACCCCCGTCTATCTCCCCATCACTGATCCATGATGATAAAATACCCCTCCCCCCTCCTATACAAACTACTATATGCGGTGAATATTCTTGCACCATCCAGCTTAGAAGCTCTCAACTTATTAACACCTGCTATATCGATTATTCTGCCGAATACAGAATTCGGCCTTAATTGGGTTAATAAGGTGATCTCACGGCCAATGCTTACACAAGTATTGCTTTTAGAAAGCAGGTCGTCTATTCACCAACCATTTTCATTAAGCCGGTAGCAGTTCATCCATTCAAAGGCTCACTCGCCAACTACATATCCTGAAGAAACGCAGCTACGTTACCATGCCCACCTTTCGCCGCAGCTACAGCATCGCCGAAAAGGTATCAATTCTGTCCAGCTACGACCCCGGGGCTCAAGGTAGCGGCTTCCACGCCCTTGGCCATCGACACGACATCTCTTCGAGCACGATTCGAGGGTGGTGGTCTCATAAGGAGGAGCTGCAAGCTGCTTTACGCGATCGTTAAGTCCCGACCGTTCGGTGCGCCGTCTCAGCGGTGGTGGGCGGCGACCAGCCCAAGATGATCTGGAGAATCGGCTATTTGAATGGATTGAGCACCGTAACAACAAAGGACTGCGTGTCAAAGACTCGTATATACGTCTTCAAGCCAAAAACATCTACCGTCAGTTGTATGGTGCCGACGCAACGGGGTTTGAGGCGCCATCTGGTTGGCTGGCACGCTTCAAAACCCATCGAAACTTGGTCTTTCGCAGGCAGACCACGACAAGATCGTTACCAGTGGACGCGCTGGATATTTGCCGTGGGTTTATCCAACGTGCCCAGTACCTGATTGCCAAGCATGGCATCAAGCCAAAAAAACATCATCAACATGGACCAGGTGCCTCGGTACTTCGAAACGGAGCCCAAGTCTACGATCACAACGCGTGGTTCGCGCAAGGTTTTACTACGCAAAGGAGGATCAAGTCACAAGCGTTTCACGGCAACGTTTGCTATTACGGGCGAGGGGGAATTTTTGAAGCC